GCTGCCCAGGCAGGTCTCGAACCCGCGGGCTCAGGCAATCCACTCACCTCAGCCTCCCAAAGGCGCGGGATTACAGGCTGAGCCACTGAGCCCAGCCATGTTAGTAATTTTAAGATCACATTGAAAATAGAGTCCTAAAAAAAGCATTTGGGAGTTGATTTAATCTTTTTAAAAAAAATATTTTATTAACTTGCTATCATTTAGTCTGATAAGAAAGCTTGGTGAAAAAAAACCAGTGTGGCAGAACATGAAATTCTCAAATGATTTATTTTAAGAAAATTTTGGCTTTATTTCTAAACCTCACAATTTATCCATCTACCTTTTCCTCTGTTCTCCTTGAGCTTATCCCACTTCTTTCTTCTCCTATTTTTCTATACAGTCTCTGAAATTACATCTGACTCTCCATTCTGTCCAGGTGAGACCAAGCCCCCAAGAACTCTGTGCCAAAAACGAAGCCGCACATCCAAAAACAATATAATATGCTATTGCATTTCTTTCCAAAGTAATTTCCTGGCTGCAAACCCCCATGGTACCCGGAGTGCAGAAATTACTTATTAACATAAAGGACCAAGAAGATAAGTTTGATTTTCTCTAATCTACATTTCAATGATCAGACCAGGATCTAGGTTTTATAGGCTTTTCCTTCTAGGTGTAAAGAACTGAGACAGTGTCTGAGAAGAAGTGGATTTAGGAAAACAAACCAACCTTGCAACCCAGTTCCTGAACGGGACGTTTTTCAATGGGCCCCGCTCCAGACTTACGTTTATGATGCAAGGGAATATTTGGGTCTTACTTTTCCATCCGCACACTTTGTGCCTGCAAGCACAAGCCCTGGGTCTGGCATGTCATCGCCCAAGTACACATGGGTCCCTCGGCACAGAATCCGGCCTCCTTCCTGCAGTGGGATATTTGTTTCTATGGAAACGGCATTGGTACCGATGACCGGCCGGCTGGCACCTCCTTGACACTGGATTTTTCCACATTTGGCATCTCTGGAAGGGTAAGAACAAAGTTTCCAAAGAGAAGCAGTTTGGAATCAACCTGAAAGTGATGTGGGGGAGGTCAAAGCCATGAGTCGGCCGGGATGTCCAGACTCCATACCTCAGTTCGCACTTGGCAAAGGAACTCTTGGAGTCTTTGCCACAGTTGCCATAAGGATCGCCTGCTGAGTTGACTCTCTCAAAGCAGATCCCAGGGGCAGGTTTAGCACCTGAAACAGAAGCAGAATAACACTTTCAGCTCCTGCAGGTGTTGCATCTGTTTTTCTTTGAACGACATTAGGTTTTTAGGTTTATCGGAGATGTATTCTGTGTTCAGAGAAATCACACCCAGTGCGCCTCGGCTGACTCATGTTGGGAGCTGGACAGTGGATGTCCAGGGTGTCAACGACCTGCATCCTCTCTGGGCTCAGCTCATGGCAAAAACACACATTTCATTCTTCTTTAGGTCTGCTCTCTGGGCTCATGGCATGTGTTGTGTCTCAGGAGATGAGGCCTGGCTGTGGAACCAGGGCCGATCCAGGGCTGGCTGGCCTCACAGAAGAGGAAGCTTGCTCTCTTTAACAATATCCCACACAGTTCCGGTGAGAAAATGCAAGCTAGGGCAGGCTCCAAAGAATAATGATGACTAATGATGTGAGGAAGCAATGGGAGAGAGAAATGAGCAAGGCAGAGATCTTACACAACACTTTCAGTCCCATACAGCTCCCTATAAGAGCAAGCGCTGGCTTCAATTAATGCCTGTTTCTGCAAGGCTGGGATTGCTCTCAGAGGCCATGGAGTCATAAACCCTGATAGCCATTGTGCACAGAATGACAGTTCCCAGCAGAGAGGGTCATGGCAACTGAGAACTTGGGAAACGGTCACTTTTAGTACATTCTCCAGCCATGGAAAGACAGAGCATATCATCAGGGTTTACGGTGCCAAGCTTTGAAGGTCTCTTGTATCCTGTGCATAGTGATAAGCATCGAAGACTATGAGTAAGTCAGGAAAATGTGCCACAGATTTTCAGAACAAACTATGCCCTGTGGTGTCAGCCTTCTTCTCTCCTACATTGGTGTCCTATTTGGGCATATCCTTTCATAGCACTTTCAGCTCCCAGGATGCCAACTTTCCAGAACCCAGCTCTGCCCTCTGCCCTTCTCAGCTCCCAACTCCAGGGAGATTTCATTTGCCTTCCAAAATGACAACAGACTTATTTAAGATGCCTATCAACACAGAAAGCTATAAAATTATAATCAGAGAATTCAATACCCCATTAACAGTCTTAAACAGATAAGCGAGCAAAAAACTAACAAGGACATCTGGAACCTTAACTGGACACTTGACCATTGGACTTAATAGACATCTGTAGAACAATTCACCCAACAACCACAGAATATATATTATTCTCATCAGCACATTGGACATATTCCAAAATTGACTGCACACTCAGGCATAAATCAAGGGTGAACAAATTTCAAAAGGTCAAAATCATATCACGCATCTTCTCAGGCCACAGTGGAATAAAAATAAATATCATTGCCAACAGGAATCCCCTAAAACACACAAATACATAGAAATTAAACAATCTACTTCTGAATGACTTTCAGATTAACACAGAGCTCAAGGCAGAAATAAAAAGATTGCTAGAAGAAGCAAAGACAGCACACCAAAACATCTAGGATACCATGAAAACAGTGCTGAAAGAGATGTTCATAACATTGTACACACATATCAAGAAAATGGAGGACCCTCAAGTAAATAGTCTAATATCACATTTAAGGAAGCTGGAATGTTAAGAGCAATCCAATCTCAGAATCTGTAGAAAAATGGAAATCATTAAAATAAAGTCACAGTTGAATGACATGGAGACCACAAAAACCAAAACAAAACATAACAAAAAACATACAAAGGATCAATGAGGTGAAAAGCTGATTCTTTTGGTTCTTTGAAAGGATAAATAAGATCGACAGATTCCTGGCCAGATTAACAAAAAATAGAAAGAAAATTCAAATAAACACATTAGAAACAAAAAAGGCCACGATACAATGAACTCTGAAGAAATATAAAAGACTATCAGAGATTACTACAAACATCTATATGGAAAGAGCTAGAAAATCTAGAGAAAATGAAGCAATTCCTGGCATCACATAACCTCCCAAGATTGAAACAGGAAGAAACTGAAATCATAACAGACGAATAACAATCCAAGAGATCAACTCAGTAATAAGAAACCTCCCTACCAAAAAAAGCCCTCTGCCAGACAGTTTCTCAGCTGAATTCTATGAGACACACAAGGAAGAGCTGATACCAATCCTACTGAAAGTATGCCAAGCAATCAAGAAGGAAGAAATTCTCTCTAACTCATTCTGTGAAGCTAGTATCATCCTGATACCCCCAAATAGCAAAGACCCAACAAGGAAAGAAAACTACAGACCAATTTGCCTGCTAAACATAGATGGAAAAACTCTCAACAAGATTCTAGCAAACTGCATCCAACAGCACATTTCAAAGATCATCCACCATGACCAGGTGGACTTAATTTTTGAGATACAAGGTTGGTTCAACATACACAAATCAATAAATGTAGTCCATCACATAAATAGGTATAAAACCAAGAACCACATGATTATTTCATTAGATGCAGGAAACACATTCAATAAAATCCAGAATCCTTTCTTGATAAAAACTCTTGAACAACCTCAAAGCATCAAAGGAATATTCCTCAAAACAATAAGAACCATCTATGACAAACCTGTAGCCAATATCAAGCTTAATGGGCAGAAGCTGGAAGCACTTTCCCTAAGAACTGGAGCAAGGCAAGGGTGACAACTTTCACCCTTTCTATTTAGCATAGTACTGGAAGTCCTAGCCAGAGCAATCAGGCAGCAGAAAGAAATTAGGGGTATCCAAGTAGGAAAAGAGGAAGTTAAATTATTCCTCTTTGTAGATGATGTTCTATACCTAGGATACCCTAGAGAGTCTGTCAAAAACCTCCTCACACTGATAAATTACTTCAGTAAAAGCTTGGGACGCAAAATCAATGTACAAAAAACAGTTGCATTTCTATACACCAACAAACAAACAGGCTGAGAACCGGATAAAAAACACAATTCTCTTCACAACAGCCACACACAAAAAATACCTTGGCATCCATCTAACCAAAGAGTTGAAAGACCTTTACCCTGAGAACTAGAACATTGCTCAGATAAATAAAGAACAAAACAACCAAATGGAGGAACATTCCATGCTCATGGGTTGGAAGAATCAGTATCATCAAGATGTCCACTCTACCCAAGGCAGTCTACAGAGTCAATGCAATCCCTATCAAATTACCAGCATCATCTTTCACAGACCTAGAAAAGACAATATAGAAATTCATAAGGAAGCAAAAAGAGCCTGAATAACTAAAGCAAGACTCAGCAAAAAGTACAAGCCTGGAAACATCACACTTCCAGACCTCAAACTTTTTGCTACAAGATTGCAGTAACCAAGACAGCATGGCACTGATACAAAAACAGACACATTAACCAAAGGAGCAGCATAGAGAATCTGGGAATAAATCCACAGACTTTCAACCAACTCATAGACAAGTGGGACCTAATTAAACTGGCAAGCTTCTGCAAAGCCAAAGAAACCATCAAGAGAGCAGGGAGACAGCTTAAAGGCTGGGAAAAAGTATTTGGCAACACCAGGTCTGACAAAGGCTTAACATCTTGGATCTACAAGGAACTCAAACATGCTGAAAAGAAAAAAACAAATAATTCCGTTATAAAACGGGCAAAAGATATGAACAGACACTTCACAAAGGAAGACACCCGAGCAGCCAACAGACACATGAAGAAATGTTCAACCTCACTAATCATCAGGGAGATGCAAATCAAAACCACACGGAGATACCACCTAACTCCAGTCAGAATGGCCATTATCAACAACTCAAAAAATAACAGCTGCTGGAGAGGGTGTGGCGAAAAGGCAACACTTCTACACTGTTGGTGGGAGTGCAAACTAGTGCAACCTCTGTGGAAAGCAGTGTGGCGATTCCTAAAATCTCTAAATATCAACCTCCCATATGATCCCACAATCCCCCTACTGGGAATATACCCTGAAGAACTCAAATCACTCT